TGGACGCCTCATTTTCTCCAGGTGATGGCCATAGCATTTCGGGAACCAGGCTGGATGTACAGTGGGAATCCTAGAAGCAGTCTCTGATGGCCCAGACAGGGAGGTCTGTGAGGGCATTGGTAGAGCTTCTTGTGAAAAAGGTGGACCTTGAGCTCTACAACGACAACCGTGTGGCAGTGGTTCTGTCGTCGGGTTCGGTTGGCAGCTGGAGGACAAGACACCTGAGGATTCGTGCACATTGCTTGACCGAGGCTCTAAAGATGGGGGAGCTCACCTTGGATCATCGGGTGGGCACATCGTTGTGGGCCGATTGCATTTGAGTCGGTTCTGTCAAAGGGTGGGTCTGGGAAACGCGGAGGAGAAGTTCATGTCCAAGGAGTCGGAGAAGAACACCTACCAGTTTCCTTCCTTGGAAAGCCCAGCAGTTGTCAAATCGCTGTCGTTGGATGAGTCCTTGCCTCAGTTTCTTCATCGTTTGAGGGGGCAGGAGCTGAAGGACTTTCAATGGATGTGGCCAGCGAATCTCATTGAGGAACTGGATCGGCCCTTGAGTCGTGGTTCTCATTCAACAAATCATCATGAAGTCACGCAGGGCATCTTGGAGATCATGGTCGTCCGGCATGAGAGCTGGCGCAAGAAGCTGTTTGGCTCCCCCATGAGCCGATGGGATCACTGCAGGGGTGGTCACGGTGGGCTGGCTGGAGGACGGCCGGAAGTTTGTGAGGGTTGACAATCGACGAGGGAATCGATCGATGTGCTACCTCAAGTCACGATCTTAGAGGGTGGGTATCTGAGTGAGGGTCGGTGCATATAGAGCAGGTCTGTTTGTCGGCCGTTGAGGCATTCGAATGGGGAATGTTTTTTCATGATGGCTGGTGTGAAGGCCTGTGAGCATTTTTGTTGGCCCTTTCGTGTGAACATCGCACTTGACATAAGGCCAATGGATCTTAAGGGCTTGAGTCTTTCTTCAGTGCCACGTGCTCACTTTAGAGATCCCAGTCACGACTGGGAGGGGAGAGCGGAAAGTGTGCACGCTTGTGAAGTTGTCTTGAGGGTCCGTACATGACCACATACACTTTGAAGCCCTTTTGTTGATCAAAAGAAAAGGGGCGCGGTTTGAAACCCGTGAGATAAGAACCGCTGGGCGCCTGGTTCAAAGCAGGCCTCTTCACTTAAGATAGGAAATTATGATAGGCTAGCTGAAGCTAGCTCAAGCTACCAGAAGCTACCACATGCAGGCTGGATGAAACTTAAAGTGGCAAACGGGTGCGGTCCCTTTTCGCGGACATACCTTATGTGAAATGAGAAACGAATGGGATGAGTGCCATTTCAACTCACCCCCAAGGCCCCTTTTTGAGGCGCCTTCACATTGGCTTTCGAAGCCTTCTGATGCAGCCGCTGCCGCTCGCGCTGAGCCTGCCACACCTCATCTTCTTTAAGATTCCACTCATTCGTTTCCAGAAAGTTCAAAAGGACTTTGTTGTCCTTCTCCTTGGTGAGGCTATCCGAAATCTGCTGCGGCCCCGGCACCCAGCGGCAAAGAGAGCGGTTGCTCTCATCCAACAAACTCTCTTGATCGCCAGCAAATCGAGCGCCGTGCGGCGATCCTGAGGAAGGCTCTCGGTCTGTAAGGTGTCGTACGCAGTCCTGGCGTCCAGGACCAAAGCAACTCCCGCCTCTTCACGAAGTGTCCCCACCGGCGCACTTGGAAGTCCTCACAAACAAGCTCGCCGAAAAGTGCGCGGACATATTCACCATGCTCATACCCCATCGAAGCAGCGCTTGCTTCTATTGCCATGGATGACCGGACGACCGGTTGCACGACGAGCTCTGCCATGTCCACTCCACCAGGTTCATCCGACTGTGCCCTTCTTTGATTCGAGGATGCGCTAAAGCCACTAGCCAACCTTGTTGGGATTTCCCCTCCGGCATCGCGCCGTAGGCACCGTCCGTGGCTACCACGAAAAGCATCTCATCTAAGGCGCAGCCCAGTTGCACAAAGTTCAAAGGCACATCCTTCTTCAACTGTCGGATCCCCTGGTTGGCCATGCGCAAGCGTCGCACCTGCGGGGCTTCATGCTCTGTTGCAGGAGCGACACCAAGAAAAGAACATCCGACTCTGTCGGGCAGCCCAACTAAGTTTCCCGTTGATGGAGCGCAGCAACCCAACCTCAGTGTCACTCAGCAACCGATCGCCGCGGTCAAATGCATTGTCAGTGCAATATTCAGCCATGGAGGCGCTGATCTCAAAGGTGGTCTTGCTTCAATTGTCGGCCCAAAAACTTCAGACCGGCGCTCATGGGAGCCCAACTGACTGCCAAAGGTGAGTCGCTGTTGAATTTCTTTCCAAATTGGTTCAGCCACTTCCCCCCCAGCTAAGAGCATATCGTCAACATGAACTGTGGCCATGGCTGAGAGGGTTCCTGTGCAAAGCGAACACGCAAGTTTGTAGGGGGGGCCGTTGCCTTTGGAAGAAAAGAAGACGCTGGCCTCGGCTGCTAGCACCGTACGTAGCAGCCCAGGCCATGCCTAGGC